TCTCATGCTGCCCGCTCCCCCCACAGCAACTGCCTGACCTACCGCCGCATCTACCTCCCGCCCAGCCACCCGGACGACCTCATCAGGCCGGGCCTCTTCAAAGGCACCTATGGCAGCCACGGCCTGGAGATTGTCATGCTCAGCTTCCATGGGAAGCATGCCAGGGCCACAAAGATCACGGTGAGTCCAGGGTCCGCCTAGCAGGTCCAGCCCTGTGTGGAATCGTCAGGTTGGCCATGGAGTAGTGTGACTCAGATTGTGTCCTGCTACTCAGAGTGGGCCTGGACTCTTGGCATCACTTCACTGGGGAGCTGGTTAGGGACGCAGATCCTTGGGCACCCCTAGACCTGCAGGACCAGGATCTGCAGGGGATTTTGAGCACTAGTGAGGTGGCTGTACTATGTAGCTCTCAATCCTAGCCCCACACTTAGATCCCTGGGGAGGTTGCAAACACTGATTGTCCAGGCCCCACCCTACAGATTTTGATTTAATGGTGGAGGGAGCTAGGTTAGAGACTTCCCAGTAGACCCCAATTGTTACCACATTGGAGACCCCTGCATTAGCACATGGACCCCATTGCCTGGCTTAGCCTCAGCAGCTTGTGAAAGCGGCTGGAAGGTTGTTGAGCTATGGTTAGGGGGTTCTGAGTAGGCCAGGCATCGTCTGTTTCAGAGGCCACCATTCACACCGTGCTCACTCGTTACCTGCATCATTGCTGGGGTGAGTTTCTAGCAGATGCACTAAAGCATCCTGAAGAAGCAGCATCTCTTCTGAGTCCTCACAAATCATTGCTCTTAAACCTTGGTTCCCTGGGGTCCTGTTCCTTTTGGGAAAGCTCCTTGTGAATGAAAGCCTGGAACTGGGGCCGAGTCCCTGGTCCAGTGGGGCTCTCCTGCGGGGACTTCAGTGTTCTCCTCATCCCCATGTAGAACTGCAGGGCTGGGGAGATCTCCTGGGGCTCAGGCTTAGGAGCTTCTGCATTCTCAGCAGACAGATCCGAACTGGCGTCACAGACCTGCCGCCCCTCGCCTGACCTGGGGAGGGTGTGAACTTCTCTAAGCCCTGGTCTCTTCAACAGGCTTAGTTCCCATCTTAGGTCTTTGAATGAAGATAAGCCATTGTGCCAGGTGCCTGCAGGCCCTCACCAGGTCACTGGGGCCCTCACCAGGTCACTCGTGGGTGCTGTTATTCTCTCTCCTCAAAGATCCCATCACAGATGGGGCCTCCTGCTCCAGGCACTCATTTTTTAAGGTCTTCTAAAATATTCTTCTCAAGGGCTTGCTTCTAAGTCAGTAGGAAAGCTGGAGCATGCTCATCTGGCCACAGGCAGGATCTAGGCTGGGAACTGCGCAAAGTGTGTTTCTGCTGGTCTCACCCTGCTGACTGCTGCCCACTCACTCCCTAGGGTGACCCGAACATCCCTGCTGGGCAGCAGACAGTGGAGATCGACCTCATGCACCGCATCCAGCTGCCCGATGTCGAGAACCTTCGCAACTTCAACGAGCTCTCCCGCATTGTCCTGGAGGTTCGTGAGCAGGTGCGCCAGGAGCAGCAGCAGCAGGAAGAAGGGCCTGAGGATGGCGAGCGCCACAGCCAGCAGAGCCCCCGAGAGCCCCAGCAGGACCCTGCCCAGCCCAACATGGGGCTACCCACTGAGAAGGACAGAGAGCCTGGGGACAGAGGGGCTGCAGCTGCAGAGGAGCAGCCTGCCCAGTCCGGGCAGGGCCAGCCCTTCGTGTTGCCCGTGGGCGTGAGCTCGAGGAACGAGGACTACCCCCGTACCTGCAGGATGTGGTAAGGACTCGAGGGTGCCCCCACACCCAGCACAGAGACAGGGCTGGGGTGGGACCCAGTCTGAGAGGCACGCACGGGGGCTTGCGGCACCAGGGTGGGGAGCCTCTAATGGCTTGATCCAAACCCCAGCTCGGACCTAAGAGGATGGCACTGTTTCCTGGGCTGCACGGTTGGTGCTCACATCCGCATAGTGACTAAGGTAAAAGGGAGACAAGGCAGGACGTCAGGCAGCACTGAAGCAGACAGTCAGGGGGAGGACTCTCCCCTGCCCACACCTCTCCCTGTACAAAGCCTGCTTGGGGTTCGCCTGGATGTCCTTGCAGGTAAGGCCTGTTGTGGCTTTTCCATCTATCATCTAATGAAAGTACTTCCGATGTTGGTCCGTTATTTCTTCCTGTGATTTATTTCCTT